TCAAATAACATATAAGAACCGGAGTTAAGTAGGCAATTTTGATAATCCAAAATGAAAATTTGAAAAAATAAAGCTTACCGTTAATCTGTTTTTCTTTTAATGATTTTCCGGCGGATTTCACATCATTGCTTCCAGGTAAACTCCTTAGATGACGTCCAGGGCATTTTCTGTTAAGTTCCTCCACAGAATCCGATTCACAACCACAATAGTAACAAAAAAGATGTGTTCTGCGCAAATATTCAATATGAATGTCCAATATTCTCTTAACCTAACCATTATTTAAATTACAATTATTATTCGGGTGTATTTCATATTTTGATAATAAATTAATAATTTACGTTATTTATTTCTTCACGCCGATGGCCATCGTCAATTAATATGAGTCGTTGTTTGATATTCTGGCTTCCGGTCATTGTATTATCAACATCTTTATCAAGCTTCTCTGAAAGTTTAATGGCCATTTCCAAATCTTTTTTCAACCTTTCAAGAGTATTAGCGGCATCCGGAGCGGTTCGATTACGAACGGGACCAGTTTGATTTTTATGACGAGCCAGGTAAAAAACGAATTCGTCAATCTAAGGAAAATATGTGGAATTTTTTTTTTTAAAAAAAAAAAAAAGGTTGAAACTTTATTATTTCATATCACCCATATTTTTACCTTTTGTTCATTTAGTTTTTCATATGCTGCGTCCATATCAGATCCCTCTTCAAAAACAATCCAGCCCAGACGATGAAATTTTTTTTGAGGATTAGGTTCAGATAAAGCAAGATATTTGAACCCAGGAATTTCTTTGCACATCTTTATATTAATAGTAAGCATAAATTAAACCGAAAAATTGCGAGCTCATGAACACGAAAAAAAACAAATTACACCTACTTCTTCTATTTTTTGTCTTGAAATATTGGGTGATACACTCTTTATAAAAAGTCTATTAGCATCTTCGTCCTGTTCGTTTTTGTCTGCAGTGGATTCTATTAAAAACAGTTAAAGTTATTTGAATAAAAAAAAAGAAAGTTCACAAATACCCTGCTAAAAACATACCTTCTGTCTTTGTATCATCTTTATTTTCTTCAACATCATTAACAATATTATCTAAAAGGCCTCTTTTCAAATCCGTGATAAAATTTTGATAATTCTTCTTTTTTAATTCCCTAGTTGCCGAAATCCTTGGCTCCATATACTTTGGATGATATTTTTCAAGAAACCATTCTTCTTTTTTATGAGCCTCAAAAAAGGTTTTCAATTGTTTAATACCAAAAGCTTCTTTATAATCATTATATTTTTTATGTAAGTCATCATCAGTATATCGTGTTTTTTGATTTTGATTTGACATCTGAAGGAATTCGGCATAATACTTGAATGTCACCAAAAAATCAAGTTGATCAGGATCCTTCAATGGCTCTTGTCTATAAATAATAAAATACGTATATAAATTAAACGATACACGATATATAAATATATTTAGTCTATATAGTTTGAAATTTTACCTTCCAGGACCTGTCCAATCCATCGTCATGAGAGGTCCACCCGGAGGTATAATCGGTGGTGCTGGCCCTACGTTAAATCCTTAATTATTTTTTAGCAATTGAAAGCTTAACCAATTTTGTAGTATAATGATGATGAAATGGTGGGTTAAAAATTAAAAATTATGCATGCGTACCAAGTGATAAACCGACTGGAAACCCATGCGGTGGAAATCGCATATCCCCTGGTC